ATTTTATTGTCTGTTTGATTCTTTGCTTCATTCATATATCATCTAAAGCACTCAAAAGGTTCAAGCTTATATGAGATCAAATAGACATGACTATATCGTGAATAGTCATCAATAAAGGTAATAAAATACCATGCTCTGTGCCTCATGCTCACACTCATGGGACCGCATATATCAGAGTGAATTAATTGCAATGTACTCTTAACTCTTGTTCCCTTACCGAAAGGTTTTCTAGTTGCTTTTTCAACTAGACAATTCTCACACAAGGATATTTCTATATTAGTGATTTCACCTAGTAAACCATCTTTAGCTAGTTTAATCATTTTGTATTGATTTATATGTCCTAGTCTAGCATGCCAGGTATCCATATCAACACTATTAGAAGAAGTAGCAAAACAATCATGTGCATTAAAATCACAAATAATATCTATGATAAAGAACTTCTTGGAAAGAAAAATTGAACTATAAAGAGTCAAATTAAAAATTATGTCTATAAGCTTGCCATGAAAGTTAACATTAAAACAATGCTTTAAAAGGCACAAAACATAAAATAAATTCTATCAAATGTCAAGAGCATGAAGGACATTATGCAGGACCAAAGTTTTTCCAGCATGCAAAGCCAATTTACAAGTACCAATGCCTTTTACCTCGATCCTTGTGTTGTTTCCCACATATAGCCACTTGCTTAGATGTGGCAACTAACGGTATTATATTCCACAAAGGATTCACAATCCCTTGTTACATGGTATGTTGAGCCTGAGTCTAAAATCTTCTTAGAACAAACAGATTTGATTAGAAAAGGAGTGCTTGAAACATAGGAAAAATGTGAATTGACATAATTCACATAATTCAATAATACCTTTTCTTGTTCATTTCACTCGATGCAATCCCATGCAAAATAGCCCATCTTTTGGTAGGTATAACATTTGACCTTTTTAAGGTCAAGTTTCTTCTTCTTGCCTCCCTTGTTACCTTTCTTCTTGAGCTGCTTCTTATTCTTTTTAAATTTAGAGTTGCCTTTCTTTCCCGTCTTGCGAAATTTCTTATCTTTCTTGAAATTAGGCTTTGTGTTAGAAGGTCCTGTACCTTCAATATAATAGGCTTGGCTAGAGAATTTGTATGCCTCCAAGTGCTCATTTTCTAGTTCAAGATGTTTGGCCACATCATTAAAAGTGATAATACTCTTATTATGGGCAAGGTTAACTTTCATGTGTTCCCATCTAGAAGGAAGTGACCTTATCATGCCCTAAGCTTACTATTCATCGGTTAAGGTATATATAGCCTCTTTGAGTTCTCTTATCATGTTAGACATCTCCCTCAGGTACTGCTTTATGGGAGTGTTCACCTTAGGCTTATAGTGTCAAACTTAATCATTAACCTTTTGAGCTCAGTTGTAGACATCCTATCAAACTGGTCCTTTAGGGCCATCCACATGGTTTGAACAATATCAAACTTTTCAAACTCACACATGAGATCATCAGCCATAGTGCTTAATAAAGTGATTCTAGCAATGTTGTTTTCCTTCTTTCAGGCCTGAAAGAGCTCTTGATCTCTTTGATGCTGAGCCATATTCCCAACTTCATGTTCCTTCATTAGGACAACTAAGAGTTCTAAGGCTTTTTTTTCCTCTAAAATGTATTGCACCTTTTGGTGCCAAATATCCCCGTTAAGTTTTCCACTGTTATGATGTTTTTTTATTGCCATTTTCAATTTTGTGATAAAGCTATTCCATATTAAAAGATTGTTCCTTATACGAGAATCAAAAAATTGAAGGACATTTAAATAACTATATAGTATTAACACAATATATAATGTCTTATACTTATATTATTCCTGACATGCAAATATTGACAACATTAGGTCTACGATCAAGAGCGTACATTTGTACCTCCCATCACACAGAATGTGACATCATCATTATATCCTATTAAGAATTTTAAATATAAGTAATTTATAATAAACGTATAACTTTTAGAAGACTTATCTCCTAAAAGATCCCACTCAAGAAAGACATATAAATAAATTGCAAAACATTAAACAAATTTACATATAAGTCAAGTCATAACATTGAAAGCATTACAAAGAACATTGTCTTTTCTTAAAGAAATCATAAAATGTAAAAAACAAAAAAACTCAAATGTCTGTGCAAAAATTGATAAGAGTCTTTCTAAGCTTGGGTGATTTGATGTGATTCTTAATCACTACATTTACAGCCCAAACCCAAGTGTCCTTCAATTTGCATTTCTTTATAGCTCTAACTTCTTCATAAAATATCATCATGATATTAGCATATAAGTTAATGCTTTCAGTGTTGTACATGCTTATAAAATATCTTTTAAGAACTCTATTTATGCCTTTGACAATTTTGATATTTCTTGTGTCATGCTTCGCTATCCTTCTTCCTAAAGCAGGGGTCAGTAATGGATTTACTTCTTCATCCTTTTCAAGAGGTCCATAAGGATAGGAAGTTTCTGACTTGGTCTAAAATCTGTATAAATTTCTTGGAGTTCCTACAAATATTTCATAGGACCATGCTCAAGGAGATCATCTTCGTCAAGATCCTCCTCTGGATCCATCTCAAGGTCCTCATCAATGTCCATCTCAAGTCTTTCTCAAGGTCAATCCTTTTCATTGCTTTGGTAAGAGGTAACCATTTTTCATTTGTTATATGTGCTAGCGTTTTGTCTTGTGAGTATTTTGGTATTTTGAAATAATGAGATGTTATTTAGAATTTGATAAGCTATATTATATTTTTTAAGCTATGAAAATTGTCTTATGAAATATTTTAGAATGGTGATTAAGAAGTTTAAAAACAATCATATTATATGATTTATATCTTATGGATTATGTTGAGAAAAGATAGTTATATTGTGATTGATTAGAAGTTGTTGGATTTTGAGTTGAGTCTTGTTTTGTCACGTGATAAAGCCACTATTAGTATACATTGGTTGGCTTCTTTTGTCTCCTATAGTGAAGGATAGGCTCTTGTAGTTCCTTATTTATCCCTTAGAATAAGGGATATGCTTATATCTCTTGTTGATCCCCATAGTGAGGGGTAGACTTATGTGGCTTGTGTGTTAGCTCTTATAGTTAGGGTTTGGATGATTGAGATTATCTTTGCATAAATACTTTATAATTCTATTAATATATCTATATTTTTTGAGAATTGATAACTATCCTAGTTAATACCTTATGAACATATTCAAATGTATATGAGTTGGAAAGCTGGTTACTAAGATGTTTGTCTCACCCCACTGCTCTTAACTTTTTCAAGTGATAGTTTTTTTGTGGGTTCGTCAGGGAAGGCTCCGGAGGTCTTAAAGGTGCCATAACTATTGTATAGCTCCTCCTTTTAATTATGTGTTGAATGTTTGTATCTTGCTACATTAAGGCTCATTTTGCATACTCTGATGTGCTGTAATACTTTGTATTAAACTTGATATTGGGATTGCATGCTCATAGTTGGCCAGAGGCTATTAGGGTTGCATCGTATTTGTGGATCCAGATTTTGAACTAGTATCTTTGAGATATCAAATACTTCTAATATCAATCCATGATTAAATATTATTTAGAAAAGATATAGTTGGGTTTGTCGATGAATTGATATTCTAGGTTTTGAGAACCCCAAACATAGGGGTTGATTTCTATAATCATATTAGATGAGTAGTGTTCTGTTTATTATGGTTTGGTTGCAACCAATTTAGGATGGTTTTATTATCCATGATAACTTTTGGATATTAGTTTCTTTCTTTTCTATTATGGATAAGTTAATGAAAAGCAAGTTTTTCTCTTTTTACCATGATAGACACTTTGAAGTTATCTTTTTCTACTATGGTTATCTTGTTGAATCAATAAAGGTTCTTTTTATAATCATAGTAGTGTTTTCAAATAGTTATTTGAATTCTTTTCCACCTTGGTTTGCATTTGAAAATTTGAGTTGAACCTTTCCCTACTATAGTAGTCTTTGTGTAACATTTTTGCTTTTCTACCATAATATTGTTTCAATTGGATAATTTTGACAAGTAACTTGGGTTAAAAGAACTATTGTTACAAATTGTATATAGAATCTTATTATATATTATAGATTCTAATTCCATGTCGGTGATCCAAACTTGCATATTGCTAATTCTAATTGTGTATTAAGATGCCTAGTTGCATATGGGACTTTATTGCATATTACAGATCATAATTACATATCTTTGATCCAAATTTACTTACTGCTAATTCTTTTTTTTTTTTTGGTATTATATGTGAGTGAGGATCCTTCATATGCAATTAGTATTCATATTAAGCATTTATGTGCAATAAGGACCCGTATGTAAGTAGAGATATGTTATTTGCAAGTGAGCATCTGTTATATACAAGTAAGCATATATTATATGCAATTAGCATTCGTATTAAACAATAAACCTATATACAAGTAGGCATCCGTCATATACAAATGAGTATCCGTCATATGCAATGAGTTATATGCAAATAAGTATCGATCATATACAATTAGTCATATGCAAGTGAAGATCTATGATATATCAGTGAAAGTCCGTCATATATAATTAGCATCCATTAGAACGATATAGTCTTTTCCTATTACATTTACTGACATTTGAGGAGCTCATACTTTTATATTTATTTTCAGTCCCATTTTTCAACTAATTTATCAAAGGGGAATTTTAACCAATTTTTTCCGTAAAAATACAAGAACATGTGAATTTTAAAATTAGGGGGTGTTTGGATGGAAACTAAACCATGTTTTAGAAGTGATTTTACGGTCTACGAGATAAATATATGGAGGTGTTTATCTCGATTTACAGAAAAATACTTTTGAAAAATACTTTTTAAGGTATCTAAACACCTCCTGAAAAGAAAGAGCTCTTCATTCGCTACAACAGACAGAGGCATAAAATAAAAATATATAACAATAACAATATGAGAAAAAGTTACGACGCTAAATTCGACCCTAATTGGCCTGCACTGGGAAATGGACATCCATATTATCACGTCCTAACGGCTCGTAGTGCAGAGCGAGTGAGGGGAAGAGGATCTCCGAAACCCTAGAATGGACGCACACGTAGAGAAGGACAGATCCAGCAGGAGAACCCGAGAAGATAGAGATCACAGAGACCGCCACAGAGAACGCGAACGTGATCGCGATCGAGACCACAAGCACCGGAGCTGCGATGACGATGATAGGCGCCATCGTGATTCCGATCGCCATCACCATCATCGGTCCGACAGGGATTCCAAGCGCGAACACTCGCACAAATCCAGGCGTGAAAGATCACCCGAGCTGTCGTATGATTCGAGGGATGAGCGAGAAGGGAGCAGGGATGGGGTTTACGATAGAGATGGGAAGCGTGAGTGGTCTCGCGAGCCTAGGAGTGAGAGAGAGGGAAGCAGAGAGAGGCCGAAGCATCGGGCGACGAAGCGTGAGGAATCATACGAGGAGAGGGATTCAGACCATGAGTTTAGTAGTGAGCGGGAAGAGTCGGTGGAGAGAAGGCACTCATCGTATTCGCACAAGAGGAAAGAGAGGGAACACAATGAAGATAAGGATAAGGATGATAGGGAGGAAAAGAGAACTAGGGTTTCTGGAGAGGAAGGAAAGGAGGAGATTCGAGGACAAGTTTGAGGAGGGCAAGGAGTTGAATGGTGGGGCCAGAGAAGGAAGGAGGGAGAGGAGGAGGTTTGGTGATAAAGTGAAGAGGGAAGAGGACTTGGAAGACAATGAAGATGGAAAGCAAGTGAAGGTTAAGTATGGGGATAAAGTGAAGAAGGAAGAGAATTTGGAAGACAATGAAAATGGGAAACAAGTGAAGGTTAATGAGATGAGAGTGAAGGAAGAACCCGACGATCAGAAGTTCGACAATGCCCAGGGTTCTGCCCATGGGAATGCTTTAGTTGGAAATGTGAGTTTTTCCCCCCAATCCTTCAACGATAGGTTGATAATGTTTGTTTCCCAATTCCCTGCTCTCGCCATCTTTTGAAATCCCAAAAATTTTTAGTTGCACAGTGTTGTCTGCACTTGGATGGTTGTGTGTAGGCTTGTGTGTTGTCGCCCAACTCCATCTGCATAATGCCATAATGCCTTTGTGTGCTAGATTTGAAATTTGAGACTTAAGATTAGAATATGTAGCTTTATTTATATTTATATTTCTACAGCATAATGACTGGAAAAATGTTTAATGCTTGTCAAATCGCTGCATCTTTTTATTTGCTTTACTATGTCAATACTTTACCAACGTGATACGAAGTTATATATATTAATGTCATTATAGATTATAGATGGCACGTTTAATTATTTGACGAAGTTTTTGGAATTGGTTACTGTTCAATTTCTTGTGTTGAATAAGAAACTTGTTTTTTATTTGCTCCTTGATTCTTAGGTTGACTGTCAGTTTCGCAGACATGTTCTTTTACCCATTCATAATTGCAAGAATTTCTGTTTGGATGAAACTTGAAATACAATTATTTGAATGCCAGTTTTGCTCTTTTCTCACAATTGTAGTTTTGTTTTTCTCTTTTATTCCTTTTGAAATATCCATCATCTACTGAATCTTATTTCATTTTTCAGGGTTTTGCCCTGGGATCTCATATTAGCACTTCAAGGAGTGTGCCTGAAGCATCTATGGTTTCTAGTCCTTCCCCTTCTATCAAGGTATCTATGATTTCTACCACAAATGAAAATAAGGGCGTTAGTATTACCGGATCTCATGAGGTTACTGGAAAATCTAGTACAGATGGGTCATCTTCAACTACTGGAAAGAGTGGAAACATCTCTCTTGATGCCTTAGCGAAAGCTAAGAAAGCTCTGCAAATGCAGAAGGAGTTGTCAGAGAAGCTAAAGAAAATTCCTCAGGTAATGTGGCGATTATCTAAAATCTTTTTGCTCGTTAGTGTCTGCCTTTACTTATTTCTGGACACTATCATAGCCTTTGGGAATTAGTTTTACATATCCATCTGAATGCATCAATTAGTATGCTTTTGATTGTGTAGTTGAACAAGAGTTCTACCAAGATGGAAGGAAGCACACAATTAGGTTTACAGGATGAATCTAAGATGCCTTCTGTTAGTGCTGGAGTGGCAGCTATGACTGCCACAACGGCTTCTGCAGGGTCTGTTGCAAATATTTCTAATTTTCCTGCAGCTGCAGCTGCTGCACAGCCGCCTACTGCTACGTCTGCTGCTCCTGCTGGTATTGGTACTCTACCTAACTATGAGGCTGTCAGACGAGCCCAGGAGCTTGCTGCCAGGATGGGTTTTCGCCAGGATCCACAATTTGCTCCTCTCATAAACATGTTTCCTGGGCAGACGGTAACAGATATTACTGTCCCACAGAAACCCACCAAGGCCCCTGTTCTTCGTCTTGATGCTCAGGGCAGGGAAATAGATGAACATGGAAATGTTGTTAATGTGATTAAGCCAAGTAACCTTAGCACGTTAAAGGTGTGTGGTTTTTTCAATATTTGAGTAGTTGGCGCTTTCTGGTTGGATTCATATGTTAATGCTAGAATGATTTTGAACTTTTCAGGTCAACATTAACAAACAGAAGAAAGACTTATTCCAAATATTTAAACCTGTGTTGGATGTCGATCCCGAGTCTAATCCCCATTTTGATGAAAGAATGGGCATCAACAAAACAAAACTCCTAAGGCCCAAGAGGATGAGTTTCCAATTTGTAGAGGAAGGAAAATGGTCAAAAGAGGCTGAAACAATAAAATTGAAGGTCCCTCTTCTGTCCTATTTTGTTCCCCGCTTTTATCTATTGGGATTTTCCCTTCTTTTTTTTTTTTTTTTTAAATTGACATATTAGTGAGATCCTGTTAATGTGACTCTTGCAGAGTAAATTTGGAGAAGCTCAAGCTAAAGAACACAAAGCAAAGCAAGCACAATTGGCTAAAGCTAAGGCAGCACCTGATATAAATCCAAACTTGATTGAAATAACAGAAAGAGTAGTAATCAAAGAAAAACCCAAGGAGCAAATTCCAGAAATTGAGTGGTGGTAAGTTGATGGACACGAACTATCTGTTTTTCAAATATTCCTCCCTGAGAAAGCCTAGGGGTTGCGACAATGGTATGTAGTACAGAAATTTGAGTAATCAAGAAAGATTAAGTGCATGTCTAGGTTGTTATTATAACCCTTCCTGAAAACTTCCTATTCCTAGTTATCATTGTGTGTTACAATTTGATGGAAACATGGAACCTGGGATTGTATTTATCAATCGAAAATACTCCTCCACAGAGCGTAGGTCTAATGGAGGTAAACCTAAATAGAGAAAACATGCACTACCCTATGCATTCGAGAGGCACAGGAACTCTCCCGATACACTCACCACATTTCTCATACCATTTGCAATAACCAGGCCCCCTGTTAAATTACTATAAATGCCCACACATGGTTCGCAACCTTTATGTCAATATTTCTCCACCGTATTCACATATAGCCAACTTAATAGCTACTATCCTTCCGCTTTTGTGACACATCTTTCCAATAGGTCTTATATTCTGTTACCTGCACGTATTAATTTCTTTTAATGTTACTCTTGTGAATTTAAGTTTTTATGGATGTTTTTTTTTTTTTTGGGGGGGGGGGTTATATTTTCATTGTTTCTTAATGGGATGCATGGCCTCTACTGCATCAATGGTATTTATGTCTAGCCCTCAGCCTCCTTTCAGTCTTGTGGAAACCTGAAACCCATGCAATAGGCAAGCTCTATCTTCTACCACCATGTTTGTTTTTCTCATACCTTGTTTTATTGAAAATGGTTTCAATATATTGACCAAAAAAAACAGAGAAAGAAAATGGTTTCAACTTTCAGTATAGTTTTAGTGAAGACATTTTCAAAATTAGGTTCAGAAGTGAACTGGGCATTACAGCAAGATAGTTAAAAGTGAAATGTTTCCTTACGGGTCTAGAACCTAAAATGCCTTAGGCTAGAGGCACTGAGGAATTGCGTGTCCAATTAATACATGGTGCTAACTGCTAAAGCAAGGAACAATATGCTATGTTCTGAAAAGTAGACACGTAACATTTGAAAAATAATTTGACATGAATTTGAACAAAAACACATAATAATCTTTTAAAAACAAACTTTAACTCTAAGGCTAGGTTTGGGTTGGGCTTCTAAGGTTGGGTTTTATAGTTTCATGTTTTGTCTTATTACTATTTTTGTTTTATCGGATTGGACTCATAAGGTTTTTTTGCTTATGGTTATAGAAGGCTTTAAGGTTCATCCCTGTACCTTGAACTTGGAAAAAGCGCCAAAAGAGCCTGCCTTATGGCACTCGATTGAGGGCAGCACCTCGAGATAAATATCATTTTTTAAGCATCATAGGCATTAAGGAGAGTGCCTTAATAGTTTTGAAAAGCCAAATGACGGTAGATTCAAAGCTTATTGCTGAAACAAAACTATGAACGATTGTGAAGGCTTGCATGTTTAATTTGATCTTTAGCAATGACACCAGTGACTATTGCCTGGGGAGCATTGTCTTTTCTGCTGATCCGGAGAGGAAGTAAATATGTAGTAAGATTCATTTCTCTTTTCTGTGTTGATCAGGGACGCGCATCTTTTGCGTTATGGAACTTATGATGACATTGCTGATGGAACCATAATAAAGATGGAAAAAATTACTATTTATGTTGAGCATCCTCGTCCAATTGAACCACCTGCTGAGCCTGCTCCGCCCCCACCTCAACCTCTAAAGCTAACGAAGAAAGAGCAAAAGAAACTCCGTACACAGAGGCGTTTGGCTAAGGAGAAAGAGCGGCAAGAGATGATTAGACAGGGTGTCATAGAACCCCCCAAACCAAAAGTAAAGATCAGCAATTTAATGAAAGTTCTTGGCTCTGAGGCAACTCAGGATCCTACCAGGCTGGAAAAGGAAATACGTAGTGCTGCTGCTGAGCGTGAGCAGGCTCACATAGACAGGAATGTTGCTCGCAAGCTTACTCCTGCTGAGCGCAGGGAAAAGAAGGAGAAGAAGCTTTTTGATGACCCTAACACTGTGGAGACACTTGTTTCAGTTTACAAGATCAACGACCTTTCACATCCGAAGGCTCGCTTCAGAGTTGATGTCAATGCTCAAGAGAACCGTTTGACTGGGTGTGCAGTAATATCTGATGGTATTAGTGTTGTAGTGGTTGAAGGTGGGAGCAAGTCAATTAAGAGGTATGGGAAACTCATGCTTCGTCGCATTAATTGGAGTGAGTTTTCAAAAGAGGAAGAAGAACATGAAGAATCGGATGATGAGAAACCTGTCAATAAATGTGTTTTAGTGTGGCAAGGGAGTGTTGCCAAACCAAGTTTCAATAGGTTTTTTGTCCACGAATGCATGACTGAAGCAGCTGCCCGTAAAATTTTTGCTGATGCCGGTGTTGGTCACTACTGGGACCTTTCAGTGAACTATGTAGAGCAATAGAAGATGGTGTATAATTTTGAAAGCTGTACAAGCATCTTGTCTTCTAGCTGCCTTGACTCATTAGTGGTGAGTGATGAGTTCTACAGTTTGCAGTTTGCAATATTATATGATAAAACCATCAAGAATAAGATAGTTGCTAATGCTTCCTTGTTTCTGAAGCTCAATGATTAGATTTGGTAGATGTAATTGTTTGTTCAGTGATTGTGATAATGTCCATTCAAAGTCTTTGAGGATTAATTGATCGTGCGTGATGTCACGCTCACTACATTTTCCTCTCATTCAGGACTTGCACCCACATGTTCCCCAATTTGTAAAGTTTCTATATCGGTTGCTCTTCAGGAAATATGCTGCTAATTTCCTTTTTAGCTGTCTCTTGTATGCTCTACATAACCAAGGCGGCGATGCCAATAAATCCATATGTGGTAAAATTTTAGCTTTTCGCAAGTTGTCTCTCTGAGTCATGAATAAAGCAACTACTTAGCTTTTCATATGGTGGAATCTAGTTGCAGAATGTTACGCTCTCGTAGGGCTCAGCATTTTAAGTGTGAATCTTTATTATTATTGTTGTTATTGTTATTGTTGCTTTCTTTCTTCTTTTTTTCCAATTAGAAGGGCGGATACTGTCGAGGTTGAATCCGCTGACTTAAACTTCGGGGGAAGTTTTTATATATTACTAGGCTATAAGTCCATTGACAATATGGATCTTCTTACAAGATGACATGTTATGCATTTTAAAGTTACTGTTTCGCAAGGCCTGGGGAATGAGTTACTTTTTGCGATATTAAATAAACAGTAGGCGAATGGAGGAGCAGCAAGTGAAGGCGATTTCTGTCATTTAATTTCTAATGCAGTTCTTACAATTTCGTTTGGATTCTAGCTTTTTCCTAAGGGCTGATTTGTAATTGTGACTTCAAGAACTCTTTTTTTTTTTTTCCTACTTCTTTTTCCCCTCCTTGCCTTTACTTTTTCGACCCTTCTTTTGCCCCAGGGTGTTGGCGTGCGATAGAACGAACTTGTGATGATGACGAAGATGTGGAAGGGAAACGTCTTGCAAGCACAATTTCGACATTAGAAAATAAAATTAGAGTTCTCATCAGTGTGACGGTTGGCTACGTTTTGTGAGAAACTAAATGTAGGTATCGTATGTCACCAAAAAAATGTGGGTATCGTATGCTACGTGTAATTTCAGAAATTAGACCTACTTTTTTACTACTGACAAGTACGATGGCTTACTGAGAAGCCATCTAAATCTTGTGGAGACCTTTTCTATTGGTCCGTCTCAAATTTGTAACTTTGTTAACCTTCACCTTAATCTTCATATCTCAAATTGATGTTATTGAGATTTTTTTTTTTCATAACTTGAATTAAATATTTTTAACAACGAATAAATAATCAATTTTATATAGTATTTACCATTGACATCAATGTGCATAAAGGATTTTGTCAAGTAAATTTCTCTTGTAAAGTCAACAAACACTCGTTGTAAACCCCCCCCCCCCAAAAAAAATGTACAAGTCTACGGAAAAGGAGGCGTTTTACAGCATCATTTGACAGCCGAGTTAAGAAAGTTTCATGTTTTAGAACATAGCTCACAAAACTTCATGTTATTGTTCATCCTCATGATTCTGTTGATAGCATGATTTTGAAGGGAATTGAAAGACTGCGCGCTTAAAATTAAAAACTTTCAACCTCTTGCCCGGATCTACCGATCGCGTTTAAGTTAGGTAGTAAGAAGCATTACCTTCGGTGTTCGATTTCCAGGTGGCTCGGTGATTCCGCCGTTCAGGATGCCTCTGCTCGCCTCCTTTGTCGTTCGAAGTCGACAACTCCGGTCGGCTTCCTCTACCGGTATCCACATGAGTAGCCCTCAATCTCGAACGACGTGCTAGCGTCTATGTCCGTCTAGGGTTTTCAAAAAATCCGTCCTCTCTTCTCACTTTTGGCCGTCCCTTATCTGCTTAGTGCTTTCGCTCTCCCCCTTAAAACCCTAGCTCCTCATATCAAATATATAGGATGCTATAGGTTTAATGAATGATTTTTAATTTCGAAATTAATCCTAAATTAATTCCGAAATTAATACAATATAAATATTGCCTAATCAGATAAGAGAATAATTAAATAAATATGGTTTATATTAAATCCGTCTCACAGATTTAATTCACCTATTTATTTAATTCAAAAATAAAGATATGACGGAATTAATTTACATAGATCTAATTTATCCTTATAAATTAAATCTAACAATTAATATCTCTTATATTTATATAATATATATATACGAATATATATATACACATGTCCACCCTATATTATTCATTGAATCTGGACATATCTTAGATTCAATGAATCTGGACATCATAACTCGCGTTGGGCTATTTTGTGTGCGACCCTGTAGGCCCATATGAAGTTGGCAGTGGGCCATTAACTATAATGACTCACAAGTCGTAAGCGGTCTCTAGCAAGACATTACGACTACCCAAATCATATGAGGATCGTTGAACGATGTAACCTTTCATACAACCATATCGCGTCCCTTTTGTCACACGACATTTTGGTCATGGATGAGGCATGGAGAACGTCATCCTCCTATTCATGACCGTTACTTTCTCGATCCCTGAGTAGTCTGAGTATAGAAACGGAACTACCTTTCCATTATAGTATGGCCATACATTTCTCAGACTCACTCATCGAGGGGCCCAGTAATATCTCTCTACGAATGTGAGGGACAAATTCCATCTTGACCATTCACATTCCTCCGCATGAAAAACCACTAAGCCTGAACATAGTCTTTATGATCACTCGGTCAAAAGTGACTTTTGACTAGGTCAAAGCTAAGCGTTTCTCATGTAGGAATCCATGATGATCTCAGGTCAAAGGGCACAGTGACATGGTTTGTATATGAGAGAAGCTTATGACTTAACCCATGCAGCTCTCTCATAGCGGGTCGGTCCAACACCTTATACTCTTACATGTGCCTATGACTTTAATTTATATCTCTATATATCTTTAAAGTCATATTGGTCTTATTTCATCTCTGCTCCCACATAGATGACCGACCAGGGACATTTAGGATAAACCATGAGTTATCCAAGGATAGTCATCACAGTAAACATGCAAATAATATGATAACGTAATTAATAAATTCATAAATTAACAATGTTCAAAACATAATGATTAGCCCCTAGGGCACAATTTCCAACATCCTCCCACTTGCACTAGGTACAATCATTAATTTGTCTAATTCCCATTGACCTAACATGACGTTCATGCTTTGCTTGCACAAGCGGCTTTGTTAGAGGATCAGCAACATTGTCTTCTCCTGCTACTTTGCATATTTTTATATCACCTTTATCGTTGATTTCTCTGATGAGATGAAATCGCCTGAGTATATGCTTGGTCCTTTGATGTGACCTAGGCTCTTTGGCCTGTGCAATAGCACCGCTGTTGTCACAAACAAAGTTATTGAATCTGAGATGGCAGGTATCACCCCAAGTTTAGTAATGAACTTCCTTATCCAAACGGCTTCTTTAGCTGCATCAGATGCTGCTATATACTCAGCTTCCGTTGCAGAATCCGCTATAGTGCCCTGCTTAGAGCTCTTCCAGCTTATTGCTCCATTATTCAGGAGGAATATATATCCTGATTGCGATTTACTGTCGTCCTGATCAGTTTGGAAACTTGCATCTGTGTAACCAGTTACACAGAGCTCATCATCCAATCCACCATAGACCAAGAATAAGTCCTTAGTCCTTCTTAAGTACTTAAGGATATTCTTGACAACAGTCCAATTGCCCTCACCAGGGTCCTATTGATATCTGCTAGTCATACTTAAGGCAAACGAGACATCCGGTCGAGTACATAACATGGCGTACATGATAGATCCTATGGCCGAGGCATATGGAACCTTACTCATGCGACCTCGCTGATCAGGTGTACTAGGACACAAATCCTTGCTGAGGTGAATACCATGAGACATGGGTATGAAACCCCTCTTTGATTCCTGCATACTGAACCTATGCAGTATTTTGTCTATGTATGTGCTCTGACTTAGTCCTAGAAGTCTTTTAGATCTATCTCTATAGATCCTAATTCCTAGGATGTAGGTGGCTTCACCCAAGTCTTTCATTGAGAAAGACTTTCCTAACCAAGACTTGACAATCTGCAAGGTAGGAATGTCATTCCCAATAAGTAGGATGTCATCGACATAGAGTACCAAAAACACAACTGTGCTCCCACTAACCTTCTTGTACACACAAGGTTCATCAGCATTTTGAAGAAATCCAAACCCTTTGACTACTTCATCAAAACGATGATTCCAACTCCGAGATGCTTGCTTCAATCCATAAATGGACCTTTGAAGTTTGCACACCTTACCAGAGTCCTCAGAACGCACAAACCCTTCAGGTTGTGTCATGTACACATCCTCAAGTAGCTTTCCATTAAGGAATGCTGTCTTGACGTCCATCTGCCATATTTCATAGTCATAATATGCTGCAATGGCAAGGAGGATTCTGATTGACTTGGCCATTGCAACTGGGGAAAAAGTCTCATCATAGTCCACACCATGAGTTTGATTAAATCCTTTTGCAACCAGCCGTGCCTTGTAGACATTTACATTGCCATCCATGTCGGTTTTCTCCTTAAAAACCCACTTGCACCCGACGGTTTTTACACCTTCAGGCGGATCGACTAAGGTCCAAACCTGATTGTCGTACATGGATTGCATCTCAGACTTCATGGCATTAAGCCATTTTTCAGAGTTTGGTCCCACTATAGCCTCTTGATAGGTAGTCGGCTCATTATGCTCAATGAGCAACACATCACGATTGTCAGAAATCAGAAATCCATATCTCTGAGGCTGAAACCGTGCCCTATTAGATCTCCGTGGACCTTGCGTGACTTGAGGAGTCTCAACAACTTGTTGTGAGTTATCTCCGATTTCCACCTGTAGGTCTGTGGTGTCTTGTGGCTCTCGAACTTCTTCGAGCTGTACCTTGCTCCCACTGGTTCTTTTAGAGATAAACTCTCGTTCGAGAAAGATACCATTTCTGACAACAAACACTTTGTTATCGGTGGGGTTGTAGACATAGTATCCCTTGGTTTCCTTAGGATATCCCACAAAAAGGCACTTTGAGGATTTGGGCGCTAATTTATCTGAGGCTTGTTGCTTAACATAGACCTCACATCCCCAAATCTTGAGAAAAGACAAACTAGGTTTTCTCCCAGTCCATATCTCATAGGGAGTCTTTTCAACTGCCTTAGATGGAACACGATTCAGTGTGAACGCAGCTGTCTCTAGGGCATGGCCCCAAAAGGACGGTGGAAGATCTGTTCGACTCATCATGGATCGAACCATATCTAATAGTGTTCGATTCCTCCGTTCAGAAACGCCATTCCATTGTGGTGTTCCTGGAGGAGTCAATTGTGAGACTATCCCACAACTCCTAAGATGATCAATGAACTCTTGGCTCAAATATTCACCACCCCGATCAGATCGAAGGGCTTTAATTGTTTTGCCAAGCTGGTTTTGTACTTCATTTTGAAATATCTTGAACATTTCAAAAGACTCGGATTTATGTTTCATCAGATAGATGTACCCATATCTGCTAAAATCATCTATAAATGTGATGAAGTACGAATAACCTCCTCTGGCATTTGTATTCATCGGTCCACACACATCTGTATGTATGAGGCCCAACAAATCTGTGGCCCTCTCACTGTGCCCAGTGAAAGGTGACTTAGTCATCTTTCCTAACAAGCAAGACTCGCAAGTATCATATGATTCAAAATCAAATGAGTTGAGAAATCCATCTTGATGGAGTTTAGAAATGCGTTTCTCATTTATGTGGCCCAGACGACAGTGCCAGAGGTATGTCGGATTCAAATCGTTTGGTTTGACCCTTTTGGCAGTTATGTTATAGATATTTCCATGATTGAGTTGTTCTAAATTCAATATATAATGATCACCATGCAAATCACCATGAGCATAGAAAACATCATTACGATAAATAGAACATCTACCATTCCCAGCAATGGAAGTATAACCTTCCTTATCCAAATAAGAAAGAGAAACAATGTTACTACTCAAAGCAGGAACATAATAGCAATTGTTCAAAACTAACAAAAGCCCAGTGGGCAGAACTAATTCATAAGCGCCTACAGCTAAAGCAGCAACCCTTGCTCTGTTTCCAACTCGTAGGTCAACTTCGCCCTTCTTCAGCTTCCTACTGTCCTTTAGACCCTGCACATTCGTACAAATATGAGAA